CCTTTTCTTTTTCCTTTGCTTTTTTAGTAATACTGGTATCCATCATCATCATTTTTTTTACTTTCTTGTTTTGAGTTTTTTTTCATGTTAAACTTTTTGCTTTTATGATATTCGCCACACAGTTGAGGCAGGACGACGCGGTCCGAGGAATATATTTGTTTCGATGTATCCGTCCAGGTATGTATGTGCTCCCATGGATTTATGTGCGCGTATGGGAATAAGTGCACAAAACATTTTTTTCTAATTTGTTCAATCTTCTTTGCTTCAGTTTGGGCTTCGAAGTTCTTTTTTCCATCTTACTCGTCTTGCTGTTGCGCCGTACAGATACATACATGCACGTACAGACGCGTGTTGTTTTGCTTGTGCGGGTTGTATTTTGTTGTTTCCATTTTACTTGCATGAGTGAAATGTGCGCCCTTTTACTTGTATTTTAGTTTGTTTGCTTTAGCATTGCTTTTGCGAAGGGGGAAGAAGGTGTTGGAATGTATTCATGTTTGTCGCTGAGGCTGTTGGTGGGCGGAGGGATGGGGTTTGCTTCGCGGAGGAGAGCTGCTATGGTGCTGTCGCTCTTGGTCTTTCTTCTGGTTGTGCCATGCGGGGTCTTTTCGCAGTATTCTTTGGAGTGCCAGAATGTGTGGGAGGGTCCCAACGCCGAAAACGACATTATTGCATGCCTGTCGAATAAGGATCGCCTGAAGGGGCAATGGCGTTTGTTCATTCTTCCCGCATTGAACGTCATTATTTTGGCTATGCTCTTGTTGAGCTTTCCTTTGTTGTTTTTGTGTGCTCTTTGTTGCCGTTGCTGCTGCACACCTGGTACTGCGGGAAGCACGAAGCGTGCCCGTTGCTGCATGTGGCTGTGGATTTTGTACGCTGTCATTTGGTCCGGGGTGATGTTTTATCTTGTCTTTTTTGGTGCCGGGCTGTTGATTGCGACGGCCCCTCGCCTGTTGGAAGACTTTGTCTCGGGTCCACTGGATTACTTTAATTCTACCGCGGAAAGAGTGCTTGACTTTGCATCTGATTGGTCCACGGGTGAACGCAAGCCGCTTGATGCCATTCCTTTGGACCTCTCGGATTTCACAACCGTCCACGAACAGGCCATGGGATTTATTGCCCTTGCAAGGAGATATTACTTCAACTACCTGGATAAGGTTTCTATTGCAACGTTCTGTGTATCAAGTGTGGGTCTTGTTCTGATCATCCTCATTCTGCCATTTGCATGCTGCCATTGCTGCATTCCATGTTTTCCACTTATCCTCTCGTGCCTTTACTGGGTGACAGGAGTTCTTTTTGCGGTGCTTGGAACCCTTGTGAGTGTCTTGGCATATGCTGCAACCGTGGGCTGTGGAGAGTTGGAGCTGCAATACACACGTCAGCCGGGAGTTTTCCAGTGGTACGCTGTGCCTTACTGTCAGAGACAGTTCAATTTTTCGAACATCAACAAGATGATTCGCGAGAAGGAACTTGAGCTCTCCCGAGAAGCCTGTAACCAGCTGTTGGGGGTGTGCGAATCCGTAACGCCGGAGGAGGCTGCAGCCGAACCCATGAAATTACTTGCGGCCGGTGTTATTCCTAGTGCTATTCCCGGTGTAATTCCGGCTGCTGTTCCGGCTGCTGTTCCGGCTGCTCTTCCTGCTGGTGTTCCCGGAGGTTTTCCCGGAGGTGTTGTTCCCGGAGGTGTTGCCGGAGGTGCTGCTCCAGGAGTTGTTCCTGGTGCTGCTACTGGTGATGGTGATTCTGCGACTATAGCTGCTCTTGCCGAGTCTGGCGCCCTTTCTGGAAGTGACGGTGCTCCCCTTGACATCAGCAGTTTGGCGGGATCGGATGGTGTTGGGCTGGCTGGTGGGGCTTCCAGTGTTGAGAGCTTTGAGGGTTTGCCTCCCGGAATTGATTTATCCTCCATCAAAGACATGCCGGGTGCGTCGGAGAGCATCAAGAAGGCCTTGGAAAGCCGCAATATGTCTGAGGACATCCTCCGTATGGTTCCCGGAGAAGTGAACGCCGACTTGCTGAAAATGTTAAGTAATGCCACTGCGCTCTCGAATCTCTTCGCACGTCCCTTGGTGTGCGGCAAAGGGCTCAAAAGCGCCAGTGAGTGCGGGGACTTTGGCACCATGGCAAGTATTCTGTTGGACACCAAGCTCCAGAAAAACATTCCGGGCTGCGTATCCAAAAATGGCGACTGCACGCTTACTGATTGTGCGGCGACCTGCACAATAGATTTTCTTAAGGATGCCGCCACGATGATCTTGTCGAAGGGGGAAATGGCCCGCAATGCGAGTAATGCGCTTTCGTACGCCAGGCCTTTGCTTGAGTGCAACTTTGTGATTGATAAGGTGGCCACTGGTCTGGCGAAGTGTGATGATTTGCGGAAAGGAACAATTATGCTCGGGATGGGATTCCTTGTGGGGGGAATGATATTTGGCCTGGCCATCTACATTGCATTGCGTGGAGCATGCGTGTGGGGTGAAACGTTTCCAAAGCTCCGAAGGAAACCCAGAGAGGAGTAAGTAATCAGCGCTTTTTTTCAAAACCATTTTTTTTTTTCTTTTTTTTTTCTTTTTTGAAGTTTTTTTTTTTTTGCTTTTGCTTTTGCTTTTTTTAGTAATACTAGTATTCATCATCATCATTTTTTTTTTACTTTCTTTCATGTTAAACTTCTTTTTTTCTCTTGTGATATTCACCACACAGTTGAGTCAACACGACGCGGTCCGAGGAATATAAATGTTTCTATGTATCCTTCCAGGCATGTATGTGCTCCCATGGATTTATGTGCGCGTATGGGAATAAGTGCACAAAACATTTTTTTCTAATTTATTCAATCTTCTTTGCTTCACTTTGGGCTTTGAAGTTTTTTTTTCCATCTTACTCCGTCTTGCTGTTACGCCGTACAGATACATACATGCACGTACAGGCGCGCATTGTTTTGTTTTGTTTTGTTACTATTCAAAGCGTCAAAGAGTCTTTATTTTAGTGTGAGCGCATAGGGTTTATTAATGTTTGTTTTTCAGTACGTCCAAAAAAAAAAAAAAAAAAGTAAATAAATATTTTTCTTGTTGCTTATGTGGAAAATTTCTTTTTATAAACTGTGCGGTAATTCATGCTTAAGTTTATTTTATGAATGTGTTTAACTGGACGAAAAGGTCAAGCGGAAAACAGTGTTTGAACGAATATATTCTTTTTTTTTTTTTCTTCTGAAGTTGTTCTGCTGTTGTGTTTGTGTGTGGGATGGCATTGCGTTTAATCGTCTGTGTTTCGCGGAATGTCTAGTTTTTTACTATTATTATTATTATTATTATTATTATTATTATTATTATTTTTGCTCTCATCATGGATATTCCTGTGTGAAGGATAGTTGTCCATTAAGTTGCTAATTAACGTCTGCGTCGACTATGGCGGACTCCGCTTTGATGGGTCAAGAAAACGATGACGCAAAGGAGGTTGTGCGCCAGCAGCGTACACTGAAGCGGAAGAAGGATGGCTTGCGGAAGTTGGATAAAAGGATGAGGTCTGTGAAGACAGATAGTCCGGAGTATAGTGCTCTCGTGGAGGAGAGCAAGGCGCTTGCAGCGGAGGTTGCTGCGATGGAGGCGACGCTTGGAGTTTCCACTGTTGTTGTGCGGGATGCTTCAACTGCGCCACCCGATGCTCCCACCATCTCTGGTGGTGCTCCTGCGGAAAAGACATCCGCGACGGGCTTGGCGCAGTCAGCGGCCTCCGCGCGTTCTCCTTCTGGAGCAGTCTCTCATGGAGAAAGTCAGGTGCGGCGTGGGGCCAACCCAAGAAAACCAGAGAGGAGTGAACGCAAAGATGCTTTGGCCAAGGCTAGCACGGAGGGGGAAAGGACGGCGACGAGAGCAAAAAAACTGCAGAGCCAGCCCAACACGTCTTCACCCGCCGACAAGCGAACGTCCGATGCGGTCGATGTTGTGCAACCTGGTGAATCCGTTATAGAAAGTACTCTTTCTGGGACACAGTGCCCTCTGTTTCCAGAAATGCCTTTTCAACCGCCTTGCAGCAGCGAGCTGGTACATTATCAGGTCGCTGAGTTGGCTCTGATGATGGAGTCTATGGTGATTGTTGGTGGCAACGCGCGGACCCTTGCCATGATTCAGGCGTTTAAGTCCCTTCTTCAGACGACGCCTGTTCTCTCGGGTCCTTCTCTTCGCGACGTAAATTCAAAGGTTTTTGAAGAATTAATTGATGAGAACTTTAACTTTCTTCGTCGTGGTCGCGAGCCATCCACAGGTATGACATACGTCAAGGAGGTTTTGGTCCGTCGTGTTGCTGCACTTCTCTCTTCAGGAGGGGACTTTAGAGTTTCCGAAGATGGATCCTTTATCCCGTTGGAAAAGGAGAAAAAACAAGGGGCCCTTGAGGTTACTGAATCTCCTCTCACTCTCAGTAGTGAAGTGGAGAATAGCTTGCTTGCCGGTGATCCGCGGGAGGTGTCATTGAAAGTATTAGCTGGTATTGAAAAGGAATTAAGGCTGTCCATCAAGAGCATCGTGGAGGATCGTTCTATTCCCCTGATCTCTTCCAATGATACCATCATGGTTTTTGGGAGGAGCAGTACGGTAGAACTTATTCTTCTTGGTGCCGCCAATAATCCTCGACTGGGAGTTAAACCGAGGGTTATCGTGGTGGATGCTGCTCCACTTTATGAGGGCCGAGCCCTTGCGAAGCGTCTTACAACCAGTGGTCTCAGTGTGACTTATGGTCTTATTACAAGTTGCTGCACTCTTATGCCACATTGCACCCGAGTCTTCATTGGCGCAGCAGCAGTCCTGCAAAATGGAGATGTCTTTAGCCGCTGTGGCACCGCCGTGGTCGTTGCCAGCGCAAAGCAATACCGTAAACCCGTTTTATGCTTTAGTGAGAGTTTCAAATTTATATCGGAGGTTTGGCTTGGCAACCTTGGGCAAAATACACAATTGCAATTCTCACAGTCTCTTCCAGGCGATCACCGGATCCGAAGCCCCGGTGGAATGAGCCCTCCAAGACATCAGAATCGTGAGATCAATGAACAACCGTTTGGCCGCAGCAATGATGGGCTGCCCATGCAGTCAAATGCTAGTTCTGCCTCCGGCTATTTGTATGATCTCACACCCGCAGCTTTCATCGACATGATTATCTGTGAGATGGGTTGCCTGGATACATCTGCCATTGTCGCAGCGCTACGGGATCGTGAAGACAGGGATGCGTGCCTCATGTCTGTAGCGTAAAATTTGGTGTGTGAGATGTTAAGGATTATAGCGAGCCTGCTAATTTTTTAAAATTATTTCCGACCATCATCATTTAAGGAAGAAAATAGTAACAACAACAGAGATCATCATTTTGTTGTGTTTCAAGTCGGCCACGACGTGAATGCAAAGGTAGCAGGAGGGGTGAAAAAGGGAAAAAGGAAGTATACATACATACATATACGGTGTTTGTGTCTTTCTTTCCTTCAGGAATTTTTTCTCTTTCCTCACTCTTTTTTTTTTTTTTTTTTTTTTTTTTCATGTGGAGGTGATGTTTTTCTGTCTGTGTGTTTTCCCATCATCATTTTGGGTTTCTCTCTTTTTTTTTTTTTTTTTTCTTCTTTCTTACGCGTTGTGTAAATATTTTCTCCCCGTATAAATGAAGCATTGATTCACGCAGGTCGACGCGTATTTCTGCAGCCCGTTACGCTTGCCAGCGAGGGTCACAGAATTGCGGTGCCGTTCTCTCTCTCTCTCTCTCGGTGGTTTTCGTCTTTATCATTTTCTGCCGTCCCGCTGACCGAGGTTCAGGCAAATGTCCTGCCAAATGCCGCTCTGCGATGGTGAGGTTTTTGCTGCGCCGTTGGGACGCTTTTCTGAAGGTGAGACTTTGCTTCCAAAAGGAGAGCACGCCTCTGACATGGCGTTAGTCTCCCTGCGGGTGCATGAAAAGGAACTTGTCATGGACGCAACGTCTAGGGCTGACAATTCCATGGAGAAGTCGTGCGCAGGTAGCGTTTTAAAACCGGTGAAGCCACTAGATTCTAAGCCGCTGGCGCTAGGGATGATGGAACATTTGGCAAGCAGCACTTCAAGTGAAAAGACGATCCCACGCCTAATGGACTCAAAATTGGCCTCCTCGTCAGGAGGCAGAGATGGCATTGTTAATGGAGAATGCTGTTATTCCACACCGGCCGGCAGTTTAACTTCTTTTGGGAAGGTGTGTAAAGAAAAGGCGGTTGTGGCGGCCACGGAAAAGAGTGAAGAGGAGGAAATTTGCTGCATTTGCCTGGAGGAATATACGGAGGAGAACCCCATGTTGTATGGGGAATGCAAGCACCATTTTCATTTGCCCTGTCTCATGAATTGGAAACAACGCAGCAACGTCTGTCCAATGTGTGCGTCAGAGACGCTGCGGGGACTGGCAGAGGATGAGGCTCCACCTCCTGTTCGTGCAACGGACGATGACATTTTTGCGATACTTTTGCAGCACCAATTGGGGCGGTACACACGCCAAGGAAGGCAACACCGTCAACGTGAACGTGAACTTGAACGCGAGCGCTCTCAAGGAAATGAATCGGCTGCCCAAAAATCGGAACAGCATTTAAAAAGGCACACGAATCTTTCCTCACAATGTCGTTCGGGTCGTGATAAAGCACCAGATGAACGTCAACGGCATTTAAATGGACGTGGCGAAAACAGTGCCCTGGCTAATCCCTCCTCCAAAAAGGCAACACGAGGTGAATGTGAATCACGTGTTCGGGACGCGCGTGAAAACGGTATGATAGCATTTTTTAATAGGGTATTTTGTTGTTTTAAGAAGTGATGGATAATTCGGTCTGATTTTGGCGAATTGCTTTCTTTTTGGCATGTAGATTTGTTGCGCGTATTTACGCGTATTTCTGTTTTTTTTTTTTTTTTTTTTTTTTTGTTTGGTTGCTTCTTTTTTTTTTTTCTTTTTTTTTTTTTCAGTTTACCCAATTATTTTGAAAAGTGTTA